TAATTCCATACAAGCATTAGCAGCTATTTGAAAATTTTCATAAATTTCTTCATTATTTTTAGATGAAATCCAAATTTGATGTATATATCGAGGAATTCTTCTCTGAGATTGATTATTAGCAAGACCTTGCCAAACTTGCATATCAAGTTTTATCATATTACTTCTATTCTGATCTTCTGTAAAATGTTTTATTAAAAATAAACCAGTTTGAAGAATATGAATCAAAGTAAACAGTACGATGATTAAACATATGATCAGTTTAATGTGTCGACCGTAATGGTATCGAAGATATGTCCATAATTGAATTTTGCCCTTATATTTCTGTTTTGTATAGTGTTGATATTTTTGCATAATTATTAAATTCTTTTTTTTCACTTTTGTCAATCTAAAATATGAAAAAGAACAGACAATGACTATGAAAATAAAAATTCATTATTGTTTCTCCTGTTAACTAAAAAAAAATTCTATTTTCTAGACTTTGCTTCAAAGTCATATGTACTAAAATATACACTTGATTTATGAATAATAGTTTATGATTTGTGGTCTCAAAAAAATAATAACTAGTTTAACAAAATCCATCTCTATTAAAAAAGACGTAACTGCTTCGAAGTAACTAGGTTATAAAAATTATATCCGACATGGTTTTTTTATAAATTTCATTAGAAAACGTGACCAAAGAAAACTTCATTGACATACTTTCTATATTTAATTGTTTTGATCACAAATCATTAGTTGATATCGAATTTTATCAAAATTAAATATAGAAATAGTTTCAAGAAAAACTCTTTCATGATCTTCTCAATGCTATGAATTTTTTTATCTATTGTATAACCTTAGTTAGCTCTGTTTGCACGTGCTTTAATAGACTAAAGTTCTTCTGCGTGATATTAAACTTATTTTATCTATCATATCATAATAAGACAAACCTTATAGTTGCATTTTTCAGTTGACAAAGATTTGTGTTATAACTGAACTGTGCTAAAGTTTTCGAGTCAATAGATCAGCCACATGTTTTACATAGAAGAAAAAACAAGACACTCTACTTTTGAGTATATGCAATACGGACAAAGAACTCACTCATACATTAACGTATTTTATCTGTGCACTAACGTAAGCAACTACCTATATGATAAAATACAAAATGATTGATATGTTATTCAAAAAATAAAAGCAATCATTTCTTATCAAGATGTTAAAAATTCAAAATCATCGTAAGATTTTTTGCACATAGTTAAATAGAGAGTATGTTAGGTACTCTAAAAACCAAATTTTTTATTCTTTATTATTCTTAGTTTTTCCAAACTGACTATTTTCTTATTGATGAGATAAAACTTGCTATGAAAAGCTATATTGTCTATTGTTCAAATAAAATTTAATTATTATTTCAATGACAAAATCATACAAAAACGTGCTGGTATTCAATGATTTCAACCATCGTAATTTCATTCATGAGTAAAATGTATGTCATATTCGAATTCAGCATCAAAAGTTAAGTTCAATGACATACGTTTCAATATAGGAGTAGAGTATTCCTGGAAAATATTTTCCGATTAAATCTCTGTCATCCCATTCAACTTTTGATGATGAATGCGAATATTACTCACAAATGAAATTATGATGGATAGAATCACTAAGTACGAGCTCGTTTTTGTATGATTCTGTCACTGAAATAGAAAATTTTCATTTTCTCGATAATGAACTAATATTTTCCCATAGAGGACACGATGAAATACAGAGCAGAGGTTCCACTGAATTGATGGATCGAGCTCGATTCTGCCCAGCCCATAAACCGAATTTTTTTTTGAATGGAAAACTAGTGACTAGATCGGATTCAAGGTGGATAATCCATGAGTCGATTTTCTTCGATTCCGAATTCATGCGACTATTCTTCAGTCAAAGAAAATCCTAAATAATCTATTTAAACGTTTGCAATAAAAAAAAGAAATTATAAATCGCGTGCATTATTTAATGGCTAATAAACTTAATCTAGTTTCTAAAGAACTAATGTTCAAGTTTTAAAAGAAGTTTCAAATTTTTCATGTAGAAACTTGAAACTTATAGTGGCAAGACGTAATTCAATTTGAATATATCTTGATAAAGTCACGGACATAACCATTAACTGCGTACTCCTAACAGCTCAATTTTCTTTTATAACGAGGAAACATTTCCAACTAATCAATATATGCTTATAAATTGTGAAGCAATTCCTATTAGCTCGGATATTCTGAGACTTTTTCTAAAAATAATATCTTAGACATTGTTTCGCATGTTTTTCCAGAGCTAGAATTCATCTCTTGAAGAGGTAAAACCTTGTCGGTGTAATCTCTTTGAAATTGAAATATGAAAGACACATATCTTCGTTAGCTTCATTATGCTTATACAAAATGCGATAGGTCTTTTTCAATGATAACTGATTATCAGCACACGCTGCCTTTTTTTATTTGTCTTGTTGCTTTTTTCTTGGCTTCTTTTTTTTCAATTTATTATCGTTCATCTAATGGTTGATTCAATCAACAAATAAGCTTGTTGTACACATTCGTTATATTTACATCAGATCTTAACAATTTATAATGAATCTCGATGAAATCAGAAACGTTGATATTGATTATTCCCGATGGTTAAATCTTAATCAATTCATACTTTTATGTTGATCATATAGTCGGAGTTGGAAATCAATATATCATCCTTTTCGTTTATTATTTAATTATTTTTCTGTACAAAAATCAGAAATTTCATTATGTAGAACATAGAAAAACGTATATTTCAGTCATGTAAATTTCAAGCAAAGTTCTGTAATGTTTTAGAACCTTCTCAGTCCTGTAATTGATGGCGTTCAACAGCTTTAATTCAGGTTTCTAAGGTAACAATAGTTCCTGTTATCCCTATACTTGTGTATTAGTAAATCGAGCTTAAGGACTTTCAAGCCCGTTAACTCTTAATCTTAGCAGCGGTCGTAAATTAATAAGCAACGTAGTATATAACACGTTTCTATTCGAGGTTAAAACACTTACCTCTGCCTTTCTTGCTTTGTACAAGAAGATTTACAAGCAATTGTTTCGTTAGTTTGATGAATGATGAATTTCTTTTTGCGTTCTCACGGCTCACATGGAACTCATTTCAATTTTTTTCGAAGAGAACGACTTATCAACGCTCGAATGGGTGTTTTTTCTTCTGCCAACACACATATGAAAAAAAAAAACTTCTTGTCGCCAGAGCAATCGGTCGCTGCATGTGCCTTAATAAATAATGTGTATGGAAGCCTCTGTTTTGACATTGAAAATTTTTTTTCTTTTCTCTGTAATTCGATGAAAAAGCTCATATTTGTAGAGGTATTCTTCGACAGCTATCGATATTGTTTATTGCAAGTTGAGAAGTATTGCTCTGCAGATATGAATCCATTCTTTCTAACAATAGCAACTATTCATCCTGTTCGTTGCATTGATCCTTACTCCGTCAATCTAGGTTATCTTGCTGAATCTTATAGGGAATCGAATCATCGATACAATAAGAAATACCTGCTATGCGGTAAAATTTGACAAAAATAGAGTGAAGACTCGTCTCCTCGCTCTACACCCTCAACTTTGTAGCATATCTATAGACCTGAGAATTCTGATTTCAGTTAAATGACCCAAAATTTTGAGAATGAAGGTTTGAAGAATCATAGAACATCAGAAGTTTATACTATCATTTTTATTTAATATTCATATTGATCAAGCAAAAACAATAGTGGCAGTAAACAATATACTAAGAATACTGCACTTCTTTCAATCTAATATAGTTTCGATTTGTAATCTATAAAATGCATTTCATTCATGATGTTCGAAATAATGGTTCTATCAAATTTACTCACAGAAATGTATCTCTAAGTTTTCTTTGCAATCAAACTGACCAAGACGATCGTTGATTTTCAATTACATATTCATTGTTAAGTTTCATCTACTGAAAATCTGATTTTCAAGACGAGAAATATTCCCGTATATTTTCTCAAATATTTTCTTCACAATCGATTCTCTTCTCCAGAAAGTTTGATCAAATGATATCATGAATAAAAATATACTTGCAACATCGTATACTGCTCAATACAATCAATGTTCGTTTGTTCCATAGAAAGTGACTTGAAAAAAAACACACTGACAAAAACTCGAACAAGAAAATATTTTCTACTTTTTCGAATTGAATCAATTATCGAAAACAAAGAATAACTATTGTCAATAGATAACATTTCTCAACGATGATTCTAAATGAAAACACTGTCAACTGGCGAAATAAACATTACGACAAAGTTCAAAATGCGTGCTGCAATCTGAAATTGTTCAACAAAGTAAATTGAGCTTATTTAAAATGCGATTTCATCAGTGACAAAGTATCAGTTTTCGACTGCATGCATAATAACGATTCTTCTTCTATTATAATTCATTTCATTCTATTGGATTCGTCTTTTTATTTCATGATTTTGTATCAAAAAAGCATTGAGCAAACAAGGAAAGAGTCACTTCAAATCATGATTGTTCTAAAATAACTCTCGAGTTGATAAAAACACTAATAAAATAAACTATTAAATTAAAATAATTAATCCAATGTCTTATAATTTCAGATAGTAATAATAACATTATTACTGATTGACAAAGTCATGTGGGACTAGGACAGTATTACTTATCTAACATCACTAGTAAACAATCTATTAATTGAATCTGTTAATGAAATATAAGAAACATGATTATTATGATTACAAGAAAAAGTTGTTGAACAAAAAAAAGTAAAATAAAACTATTTCAACATAAATAACTAATAAATCTTTGGTAATGTTCTAACACATATCAGATAGTTGACTTCTTCCTCCACATCCTTCACATGGCAAGTTGACACCATAAGTACCTAGAAGAAATTCACAAAATTGATATATTTGAGCAAAAATTATTATTTTCCTATGAAATAATTTAAATACATACACCACAATGCCATTCTCTCCATTTTGCACATTCCTCACATACTATACAATGTCAATAACAATCTTCTTGAAATAAATCATTGTGACAAAATGAATAATAATGCATTGTTTTATCATCTGATAGAAGCATTCGAAAAAGTTTTTGAGTATGAGATAATTTTTCATTTTCACGAATTGTTTGCCATTTCTTTGTCCATTCAGTCAAATCTTCATCATAAGACATATCTGGAAAACTAAATATTCAAACATGATAACATATTAATATGAATGTTAATGAAAAAACAAAAAACAGAGCTAAGTGAATAATTTACCAAGGACATTCCATAATACATTGACGTAATTCATCACGATCGATCATTTTTAATCCATCTATATTTTTAGCATGTTGAACGAGCCACCGAGAAAAACAAGGATTGGCAGCACATTTTTTATTGTTACCAAAGAAATATTCAACATGATTGAACATATTTTGACAAGATGAACCACATCCACATAATGAATTACATCCACTACCAAATTTAAAACAAGAACAAGAACGTCTCGAACATCCTTTTTTTACAATTGCATTTATCCTTTTTTTCATAATTTGGATTTTTCTCTGTTATTTGACAACTCATTGAACCTTGATTTTCTTGTTCATCTCCGTCAGAATCGTTATCATATCAGATTATCAATATTATTTTAATTACACAATAAAATGTTTGTCGTTATTCTTTTTCACTCGTTTTCTGAACTTCTTTTGTTTGTAATTCGGTATTATACAGACAGTCCATTGGAATCCTTAAAGAAAATTAATCAATTGCAATTAGAAGGTATGTACTGTTTCATTGCATTATATGCCTCCGAAAACAGGTTAACCTCTGAAAGGAAACATGCTTTTTAAACTTCGTTTCTTTTATTGAGAGATGACGCTATGGAATGGTTTTAAAGACCACAAGTTAAATGCGGCGTAAAGCTTTTTCTAAAAATTCTTTTGAAAAATCAATATTATTTATTTTCAGTTCTCGTTCGTCACACAGAAACTAATAAATAAACTTCCTACGTCGAAAAACCTACTCCAAATTTTTATGAAAGAATGAAATCTGAAATGTATCAAATTTTGTAGCCCTTCATATCTTAATAAGCTACTTGTGTCCTTTGATCATATCATTTATGTGAGTGCACAATGAAAAAGAATAGACACAAAAGCACAATAAAAAAATAGTTCGAGCGTATCAATCAATACTGCACTCTATTACTCTCTATCAAACGAAAATAAACGTCCTTGATCAGCATCTAAGCAAATACTAAACAATCATTGTTTAATCTTATAACAAAATATACTCACGAATATAGAAGAATGGAAATTCATAATAAGAAAGCAATTTTTTTTATCAAAACTCTTAACTCTTATTGAAAAGAAATTCTTCATTTAGACCAAAGCCTTTACAGCATCACAACAATTTGTATGTTTTTAGTTGAATATAGACCATAAAAATATATGTTACTTTTAAATTATGCATAGCCTATATTAATCCTAATAGATCATAGACATTCGCTTTTTTTTTTAAAGTTCTTCGAGACCTCATGAAAATATTGATTTAGGACACAATTCCCTTGAAAAAGTGTATTTTTGCCAAAAAAATGGTTTTAAAGTTTTCAATATAACAGCGTCTATTTCAAATATTCATAAAGCATCTTTTTACTATGGAACATTTCGGATAGATGTGCTTGATGTTGATTTTCAATGAAAAGTAGATCAAATGCCGGTAAAAAGCTCTTACGCTTTTCTCACATCTGAATCAATCTCTGCATGAACATTTAAAAATATGAAAATTTATCATGAAAAACAAAACTTCAAGAGATTTATATTAATTTCGGTATATAATTCATCCTTTATGTTATTTTTTTTTTATTAAGATAATAGTTCATAACAATAAATAGTCAATATCCTTACTTCCATGATACTCATCATTTTGTATTTTATTATGATTTTTGTTTATATAATATAGAAAGAAAAGATGCCTGCTCTCTCTCTCTCGCTCATATGGTCAATGAAATAACACAATATATACTCGTCAAAGAAAATACAATAAGAAAGATTCGACTGTCCTAAAAACTAAATCACATCACAATACACAACAACACAATAAAATAATAATATATAATAAATCTCACTGTTGAATGTCCTGAACTTACATGCACACAAATCAATACAACATACAAAAAAAAAAATTCATGGAGAGATTCAAACGAACACAAATTGTGAAAAGATAATAGCACACGAGAATCCATTGAAGAATATCAGTATGAAATGTATATACGTGTATAGACTTAGGAATTAGAGAAGAAGAAGAGAAGAAAAAAAACTGAAACATTTATGAGTGTGCACTGAGCATGATGTTTGCATATGTTAGTTCAGGTAATTAAAAAGAAAAAGAAAAGTTTTGTTGTCACATTGTTTTTATTGTTACACTGCTACTGTCATTTTCTTTTGAATGTCGTCAATTAATGTATCGCCAACACACTAAAAACAAAAAGAAAATCTTATTTTCTATGATTGAAAATAATAAATTTTCACAAACAAAAAAAAAAAAAACAGTATTATCACAATAATTATAGCTAACGCACAGACAATATATAAATTACCCATCATAAAATCTATATTTTGATATTACTCGGCAGACTTATATTGAGCTCATATGTAGGGATAAACTAGAAGAAGCAGAGCGAAAGAAAAATTTATCAAACAAAGAAGTAGAAGAAGAAAAGAATTAGCATTTCACAAAGAACAATTTATTTTTAAATAAATTACTTACGGCACAAAATTCATCAAAACTTATTTTACCATCACCATCTTTATCGGCATTGATAATTGTCTATAAAAGGAAAAAAAATTAAATTTTTTTTTCTTTTAGGAATATAAAAACTATTCATCTTACTTTATCAACAATTTGTTGTAATTGTGAATCTTTCAAATTTGAACCAACCATCATTTTCAATACTTGAAATAATTCACCTAAACAAAAAAAAACAAACAACAAAATAATTGTTCATGTTCAACTTCAGATAATTTCATTATTGAAAAGAATTCATCTGTTTGATAGAAACATAATAGTTAATTTTAGCTCACATTGCAAAACGAGTCTGCACTAGAAATCAGACTAGTTCGAATTACGAGCTATATTTATTTTTTTTTTGTTCAATTTAAAAATGATAACAGATAGGATCGAACCATTGCTTCACTCAAATTACTGTCTTACCACTCAACCAAAATTGTATTAATATAAATATGATTTAAAGTTTTCATTTGTTAACAGAGATAAGAGTCATTCGTGTGTGTTTAAAAATCGAACTAGGGTTTTTGATTAGTAGAAAATCCTCCTTTCATAAAATTCTTAATACTTTCTGTCAACTTTTTTTTATAGCCTCTTGATAACCTTGAACAATAATAGAAAGGTAATGATGTCTCCTTTCGAATTAATCTGTATGTGAAACACAATGTAGGTTGAATCATATAACAAGACATTATTGATATAAAGTCTTTGATATGTTGTTGTTAAGATGTCTGACACGTCTGTGTTGAAAGTTCAAATTTCTATATTTATATTTCTTTTAAATAGTGGTTTATAACTTTCTACTATTTCAAAACTATAACATTTACAATAAATGACTATTTTTAGAATGCACTCGATTAGTATCAAAATAATTATGATTATCTACGGATTACATACCATTAGATATATAGCCATCTTTATCCATGTCATAAATTTTAAAAGCAACTAAAATAGAAAATTGAATTATTGAATTTTAATTTTCTATATATTTAATATATACATTTTAATTTTGATTCTTTATCTCCTTTAACACTAAATTGTGATATACCACCAATAAATTCTAAATGTATTACCCATGAAAATCATTTTAACAAAAAAAAAATTTACCTTTAAAATCAATTTCTCCATTTCCATCCGTATCAAAAATATCAATAACACGTTGTACAAGTGGATTTTGTTGTAATTCAGGTATAGACATAAATTCTTGTACACTTAATGAACCACTACCATCAATATCTAATTTCTTAAAACGTTTACCTAAACGACGTATTTCATCCGCATCAACTAAAAAAAATATTCAAATTACTCATCAAACAAATAAAAACAATGATTTTACATGTAGCACAAAGCTCTACAGGAATTGATGTCATATTCCCCTGAACAAATAAAACATTTCAAACATAAAACAATGATTAGTTGATCTTGTTTTTTTTTATTCATACCATGTTTTGAGTTTAATTAGTTTCTTATATCAGTAAAAAATAAGACGATGAGTATATAATAATAAATAAATAATGGTAAAAATATATTTATTTCTTTTTTTACCATTTTCTAGTTTTGTATTAGAACCTCAATTATGATTGTATACATATATATATTTTCAATAGAGGTCGTATATGTTAAAATGATAAGAAAAATTCTTTCGTAATAAAAAAACAAATAATAAGTCAGTTGGTACATTTTCATTTCAAATCTTTAATTATATTAATAAATCAATAAATTAATATTTTGACTATTCATATCTTTTTAAACAATAACACGTAATAGAAAGGTGTTATCGATATATGCGTAGTTTTATTTCTTCCGATTTACTCATTTCATTTATTACATATAATATGAGCATTTATCCTTATTAATATTTTCCTAAGATATATATATATTCTTATGCACATGTATATATTTGTTTTTTAGATCTTTTTTGTTTATTTTTAATTATTATAAAATAATACAATAATGTCGGAAATAAGTATTCAATCAATGAAAAATACAGATTTAATTATGCCATCTGATGGTCATCATGAACGACAACAACATGATCAAGTTGTATTTGAAAATGTTGCTGATCATTATATTAAAGGTGAAGATGTTATAGCTTATTTTACAATTTTAAATGATATTAAAATTCATTCAAATGATGATCAAATTGGTTTATTACGTGTAAACTTTATCCTTTGTTTTTTTAGATATTTAAACTAATTTACATTTTTTTTTGTTGTATTAGGTTGGTTCAACAAATATTCAAGAATGTTTAGCATATGCACCTGTTCAATTTAATTCATCAACAACATCAGGATCAACTCGTCATGGTACAGCTATATTTCCATCATCATTATTACCTGTAACAGATGATGAATTTTATCAATTTTGTTATATTATTGATAAACGAAAATGTTTTGGTTCATCAATACCATTTCAATTAAATTGTTCAATTGATGATATTGATTTATTAACAAGTACATTATTAGAAACATCATTTGAAAAAAAATCCATGCATATGAATAATGATGGTCTTATTGCATTACAAGATCAAGATAATGATGATCTTGTTATTATACATACAAAACGTATGTTAATTGAAGAAAAATTACGTCAAGAAAATCGACAATTATTAGAAATTAATCGACGTTTAGAACAACAAAAAGATGAATGTAAAGCTAAACTTGATTTATTAGATTTAAAATCTAATGAATATATTAATAAAATTAAAAATGATATGCAAGTAAGTAAATAATTAAAAGTCTAAAGATTGATCTATTTAGAAAGGATT